ACTCTGATGGAACACTCTGAAGTTTTCTTTCTGGCTATTCTCAAAAAATCATAACAATGTTCTTTTTTTTCTGTAACCTTGACTTCTGCTGAAGAATTTCCAGAAACCGGATTGTTTAAAAATAAATTAATTTGGTGTCTCTGTGGTCTAACACTCTTTCTTGGAATAGGTGGCAAATACGGTGCAAGCATCAGGTTGGAACTTCACTTCAGAGGAGGTCGATTTTCCTCCCGGGATGACCGGCCAGCTGCAGTGGGCCCCCCAGGAATGGTTATGGCAAGCCCAGCACTTCTGAAACCAAGAATGCTCTGTGAACCGCCTGGGAGCCGCAGACAGGGTTCTGCATAGGGAGATAACGACCCAGAAGAAGGTGGGCAGACACAGACGGAAAGAACCCCAAATTCTATGAAGTCTGAAACTAAGACCAAACCTCTAAATTCAATTCATAGTGCATAGAAGAAGCAGTTTATTACCTTATGTTAATTTTCTCTTTCCAGCAACTCCTTGTGAAAGGAACATCCCTAAGCAGATGTCCCAGCACCCCAAGCTAGAAAGAACAGAGAGCCCATCCCCGTCACTGAACTGAGGAGGAAAGCAAGGGTGAGGACTGAGTAGTGAAACTAGGAGGGGAGTCAGGTGAAGAGTCAACAAAACTGCATTAAGTGCCTACTGTGTGCCAGGCACTGTGCTAAGAGCTGGGGTGAGAAAGGCAAAGCAAAAAGTAGTCGCTGTCCTTGAAAAGCTCTGACTCCAACTCTAGAACTCTTTGCACAAAACCACACCACACTGAAAGGTCCTCAGGAGACGCACAGAATGTGGACGTTGGGAGAACTTAGAGATAATCGAATCTAAACCCATCAATTTCCTGAGATCCAGAGAGGAAATTCCTGGAAGGCACATCCTAGATCTTATAATTCTTTGTACTCCCCATAATATGGAGAAATATTTATTAATAGGTCAGCATTGTGGACAGAAGTCTATATTTGGATTCCAGAAGATGTGGGTTCAAATCTTGCCTCAGATACTTATTGTGTGACCTTCAGTAAGTCACTTAAACCCTCTGTGTTTCAACTTCCTTATCTGTAAAATGAGATTAGTCTCAATACCCATTAAGGTTCCTTCCAGCTCAAAATCTCTGGTCCTTGGATGGTATTACATTTGCCATTATTCTATATATGCTTACACATTTTGTCTCCTGAATAAAATGTACATTCTTTGAGAGCGGCGACTGTTACATTTTTATCTTTATATCACCAGCCCCTGGAATAGTGCCTGCCATGTACAGAGCGGGGCTGGGCCTGCCAAGGCCAGTTCTCTCTCCACTATTCTGAATTGCCTCTCTGCCTGGCATATAAGCAAGGACATAATACATGTCTGTTTATTCATTGGGTTGAGATCCCACCTCAGATACTTATGTAGGACCATAGGCAAGTTACTTAAACTATCTGGGCTTCTGTTTCCTCATCTGTAAAATGGGGATAAGATCACCTACCTCACAAGGTCATTTTGAAACTTACCTGAGTCAGCTACTGTCATTACTATTTAGTGACTCTGGGGCATAGATATGCCAGCCTCTGCCACCACCACCAGACCCTTCTCCTTCCCCAACACACATACATTAATGGCATGCCTTCTGTATCTCTCATGATATTCTTGCATGGGTCCTCATGTTTCTTAAAGCAATCTGTAAGCAAATAATCACTGATAACTTAAATGATATGGAATAATGCACTTTACTGACTCCCCAGTAGGAGTCCCTGCCCATGTTTTGCCTAATTTCCATTAGCATTAAAGAGAGTTAAGAATACACCAGCCAAAGCAAGAGTTGGAAGCATCTCTACAATAAGCTTCCAAAGTTTATCCAGGACTGTTACAAACCAACATAGTGCTATTCCATGTTACTCCCTCACTTAGGAAGCTCCAGTGGCTCCTTCTTACCTCCAGAACCAAATCTAAACTCCTCTGCTAGGCACTTAAAGCCCTTCCCAACCTGGCCTCTAACCTGCCTGGCTTCCAGTCTTACTGAATATTTCTCTCCTCCGTGTACGCTGAGGTCCCACCACATCGAGCATCTTGATATTTCTCCTACAGCACACTCCATCTCCCACTTCCATGACTTCACGCCGATTATCCCCCAAGCTTGGAATGCACGCCCTCTTCCTCTCCCTCTCTCAAGAATCCCATTTCTTTTCTTCAAGACTCAGGTCAGCTCAAGCACCAACATAGGCTGAGGCCTCTCCTGATGCCCCTTCTGCTAGTTTCTTCCCCTCTAAGACTGCTTGGTATCAGTTTCGTTATCTATTTTGCAGAGGTGTGTTTGTGTGTGATTGAGTTTATATTGTCTTCCCAGGCTAGACTGTAAACTCCTGGAGGACAGGAACTGCTTTCACTCTTGTCTTTGTACTCCCAGGGCCTAGCAAGGTACCCGGCTCATCCTTGGTGCTTAATAAATGCTCACTAATCAGTTGGGTTTTCTTCAAGCACACTGAAACAAAATCACTTTTGTAATTCACACTATTAGCAAGGCAAACATTACAGTCATTTTCTGATGGGAAGCCCTCTGAGGCCAGACAGGACTCTCTATTTTTCTTTGTGCTGTGGGACTCCAAGGTAGTTAATCCAAATGAACTGCAGAGCGAGTCCAGGCAGCCTAGGAAATGCTAAAAATAAGCTCCAGCACATCCCGAGTTCTCAGAAGTAAAACCACACACAGCCAAGAAGTTGCTGCTTTCAATAAGATAAGACTTGAGGCCCCATTGGCTACTGATACTGGAAACTTGCTATGGATATAACCTTACTAATGCCATGCATTTTATTGGTTGATTGGGGGGGGGGAGGGCAGGGGAGGGCAAGGGAGGACTTTCCCATCAGGACACTTGCCCAAAAAGATAAGAGATGTTTTCAAACCCTCAACTGTTGACACATGACAAAGTGACTACAGTAAAATTTATCCTGCATGTCATGATTTAATTAGTTACACTTCTGCAGAAAAAGACTAATTTGTGACTGCTTGATTTTTCAGGGCTACCAAAGGCTTTTTGTTTTTTCAATGGCTTCAAATTTCTTCTAATGTCAAATACAAATGTGTATATGAGTGCCCACATGTATATGTATATATATATATATACACACACATATATACATACATGCACAAACATGCACATACACACACACTCACTAGAGAAAGCTCTAACATGGGCAAGGCAATTTGCACTGTGTCCCACTAAATTGATAGGGTTTTTTTCTTCCAGAAACCACTATCCCTCATGCTTCATGGTCCTCAACCAGATGAGGCTCCTTAATACAACATCTTCAGTTTTCTTTCCCAAAAGCCATCACCAAGTCAGCAGCTCCTAGGCTTCCATTAGTCTGGCCATCTTCCTCTACCCTCTGGCACCTATTGCAAATTCAGCTGGGGAAGAGCACAACTGAGGGCAATCCACTTAGCAAATGTAGAGATCTAGACAGAGTTTCTGGGGACTTTAGGAGCAATCTAATCCCCATTTTACAGAAGAGGAAACTGAGGTCCAGAGAGATTAAGTAATTCACCCAAGGTCACACAGGATTAGAACTCAGGTCCTCTGACTCCACTCTTTCCATTGCACTACATGAATATATTACATATTATTATACATAATAATACAATATATAAAATCATGTATAATATGTATTGTACATGTGTTAAGTATATATGTGTGTGTATATATACAACTGTATGTATCCTGGTTGAGAGGCTGATATATAGACTTTCCATTAGCAGGAAATGTTATTCATCACCCCGGCATTGTCCATAGTGGCCCTCCCCACCTCGTGTTTGATTAGGGATTTAAACAGTATCGTTTCGGAATGTATATTGTGACACCCTCTGCCGGAGAAGGAAGCCTGCTGGAGGAAATCTCCTCCCGCCACCCATCAGGGCACCATCAGCACCCGAACTGAATCTGCCCCCTGGCGCGAATTTCCTAGCCCAGGCTCTAACAATTGGGATAAATCGCACACATCAATATACTCAGTGGCTCCATTAAGACCTGCGTAGTCCCAGTGTGCCAGACTCCTCTAGAACCCTGAATTACTTTGGCATTTGTCATTAAAGTTTTCAACGACCTGAGAGAGATTCTTGTCCTCCGAGGATCACCCTGATTAGAAAACTGTCATGCACGGAAAACAGAGGACCCGCCTCTATCCATTGCTACTCCTTCACTCGCCTGCTCAATATTTTTTTTTCTTTCGGGAGAGCCGCTGATCAACCCCGGAGCATCGGCCAGCCTGTGTGCAGGTACTCAGGGCAGGTAAAAGTGTGAACAGTAGCTCTCCAAAAAAGACCTACAAGCGTCACACACACACACACACACACACACACACACACACACACACCACTTGTAAAACAGCAGAGTGAGCAGCTTGCTCGCCTTTAAGTGGTTTAGAACGAGAGATAATCCCCACCATTCCTCCTGCCTGAGACATGCCCCGTGCACAAGTCTCCTCTTAACAGAGTCTACACTGCGCTAATTTCTGAAACAAACAAAGAAAATCTAGTAGGCTAGGAAAGGGGGTTCGCTCTCCTTTGGCTTCGGAATCTGGCAGCCAGAGCAGCGGGAGACGTTGGGGCGCTCAGCATCCTTAGCCGACCTCCCCCGGAGGCAGCAGCCCCCAAGCAGTTGGGAGGGGAAAGTCCGAGTGCCCTCTCCCCTCCGCTCTCCGGGACTCTTGGCATCTTAGGACCCCAGGCGAGGTTGGCTTCGCTGCCCAAGGACGCTCCCTCTTCCCTTTCCCACGTCTGCCCCGGGCACACAGATTGAGCGATGGCTCGGCTCTGGGAAATAAGCAGCCGCCTCCCCCCAAACAAGTGGCATGCCTGCGAAAAGGCACACGGGCACCGCTCCAGGTACATGGGCGCCCACAGCCGGGGCTCAGGACCGAGCCTCCTCCGGGCGAGGGATGGGGAAAGGGGCACCGAGGCCAGCCGGCCACCACGCACGGGCGGATGGAAACTCACTCACCCGAGGAAACGGAGGAGCCAGACAAACTGGAGTTGCTGGACGCTGCCATCCTCCCCCGCTGGATTTCCCCCCTCGTCGCCCCTCCTTAGGTTCTGGTCCAGATGTCGCTGCTGCTGCCGCTGCCGCTGCTGCCGCCGCCGCCGTCCTGGAGCTGCTGCTGCTGCCGCCGCTGCCCCCAGCCCATGGCAAAGTCCTGGGGACGCAGAGCGAAGAGCGGCCGCCTCCTCCCAGCCTCCCTCGCCAGCGCCTCGTCCCCCCCTCCGGGACGGGGCTGCACTTCCTGCTCCGCCAGATGACGCGCGTCCAACGCCGCTATTTAAGTGTGCTTTCCTCCCCTCGCAGCTCCGCTTCGCGCGGCTCTGGGCGGCCCGCGGGAGGTGCCAGCGGAGCCGAGCGGAGCCCAGCAGAGCCGGGGAGCAAGCGGGCGGGCGGGCGGGCGGGAGGGCAACGCAGCCTGGGCCCCGCAAGTCCTCCTCCCGCGGCAGCCCCAGCCCCAGCCCCAGCCCCAGCCCCAGCCCCAGCCCCAGGCCCGGCTTGACTTGAGTTTCTCCGGAGATGGGTCCCAAGCTCGGGTGGAGAACCGAGCCCCGGCCCCCTCCGTGCCCGCCTCCTCGCCAGCTCTGGGGCAGCTCCAGGAGAAGGAGGTCACACACACACACACACACACACACACGCACGCCAGACACACTGACAGACCCGGACAGACAGACAGAACGGCGGCGCAGCCCCCTCCCCTCGTCCTGCCTCCTCTGCTCCACGCGCCCACACAAAGGAACCGGGAAGGCGCGGCGGCGGCGATGCCAGGCGGCTGCTCGCTAAACCACTCTCCCGGTTGCAGCCCGAGGTGGCGCGGGCTTGAAAGGGGAGGCTGGGCCCGCTGGAGCCGAGCTGGAAGAGAGCCCTTAGGGCCAATCCCTCATTCCCCAGCCCCTCGGCCGCGGGGCACTCCGGGGCACTCCGGGGCACTCCGGGGCCCAGGGCAGACCAGCGCCAGTGCTGCTAGCTGCCTGGTGTCCAGGTGGGTTCGATCTCAAGGGAGGCTCCACCTGAGCCTGGGGCTGGAGTCCGGCAGATCCGGCGGGCACGATCCTGCCCAACGTTACCTGCCCAGCTGGAGGCTGGCTCCTCGCGCCACCGCCGCCCGGGTCTCAGCCCTGGGTTGAAAGGGCGGGCAGAGCGCGGTTGTCCAGATCAGTCAGACCCAGTACAACTCTCCAAAGGGGGTTCCAAGCTCTGCCTCCTGCGCCCCCACCCCGAATCCGGGGGCTCTGTTTGGGTCAAGCGGGCGCAGCGGGTGTTTTAAAACGGGCTCTCCCTTTCTGGTATCAATGTATCCTTCTGGCAATTAGTCTGGTGAGACCTGGGAACGCCTCTTCAGAATCTTGATTTTTAAATAAAATATGTAGGATTACAAAGGAGGTCAATCATGTAGAAATACACCTATAATTTGTTTTTAAACTAAATTCACAAACCCCAGAATGAGAACCCGAGGTTTAAAGAGAGGCCCTAAAAGCGGCAGACGCCACAGCCACCCGAACCCGGGGGCCAGACCCGAGTCAGGCGGGCGCAAGGACGAGCGCGGCTCCCCTGGGTTCCATCGAGTCCAGCATTCTAAACCGCGCTTTACGAAGCCCCCAGGACAAACTCGGGGCCGGGCAGCCTCCAGCACGGCCGCCTGTGGGTCTGATCTGGGGCTACGTTTTAAAGGGAGGCTTCCAAGAGTCGGGGCCGCCACTGAAGCCTTCTGCCAGGGGAAAGGAGAGCCGAGGGAGGTGCGGTTCCCAGAGGCAGAGAGCAAGACAGAAAGGAGAGCGCAGGCTAATTGCTGGGGGAGCAGTGTGATCTGACCCTCCACTCCCACGCCCGATCCTGGCCCGGATTGCCCTAGGGCTTGATGGCTCGCGCAGACCTCCAGCGCAACCCCTCCTAGTGGCCAGCGCAGCCGAAGAGCCCCAGCTGGGACAATCCTCTCACCCCACCTGTGTCTGGGACCGCTGCGAAGGTTGGATTTCTAAGAAGCAAGAGAGATTGAAACATCATGAACCAAACAAAGCCCAGACGTCAGAAAGCGTTAGGGTGGGGGGGCTTTCCAGCAGCGCCTTAAATAAACCCTCTCACTAAGTACGATTTAGCAGCAGGCCAGCGGGTGTCCTTGCAGGTTGAGGAAGTGCTGAGGTGGGAGAGAGAACGAGCTAAAGATAAGGGCTGCGCCATTCCGCTGTATTTAAAGCGAAATCAATTTCACTGGAAGGAAGTATCACGCGGCTCCTAAAAACCCAAACCTATTTCATGCTCCCAGCAGGGCAACTTGTTCATTTAGTCCTAAAACGGAGGCAAAACTGTGAAATTTAAACAGAAATTGTTAGATCAAAGGAAAGGTAGACATTAAAGGAATGGATGTGGTCTCATTATATGCCCAAATGGAAAGTGGTACGCTGGGATAGTGCCATTTTTTAAAAACACGGTTAAAGGGACACAGTTAATTTATAAATTATCCAGAGACATATGAACACCAACCAAATGCTGCCAGGTTCCGAGATCTGTCAGCGCCTCACAGACTGTGTGTGCGTAATAAATGCTAAATGATTGCAGCCTGCTTGTCTCTCTCTCTCTTATATAAGGCTGATTTAAGCTAAGTCTTGTTTGTCTGTGTGTATGTGTTTAATTTCACACTAGTTTTGATTTAACAACTGGGCTTGAAATTGGAATCCAGCTGTGCCAGTGGATAGGTCATCTGTTTCAGATGGGCAGCTGGTGTAATAGAGCATTGTATTTAGAATCAAAACGGAGACAGCTGAGTGGCTCCGTGGACAGAGTGCAGGCCTGGAGTCAGGGGGACCCGAGTTCAAATTCAGCCTCAGACACTAGCTGTGTGCGACCCTGGGCAAGGCACTTGACCCTGTTTGCCTCAGTATCTTTGCCAAGAAAGCCTCAAATGAGGCCGTGAAAAGTCAGACACACTACTCTAGAGTCAAAACTGAGTCAATCAGCTGGCACATGGTATAGAAAGCCCTGAGTTCAAATCCCTCCTCAGTCACCTGTCTGAGGTCAGGTCAGGGTTAATAACCTTCCTGAGCCTCAGTTTCATCCTCTGTGAAATGGTGGGCGGGGATAATGCACCTATCTCATGAGTAGGCTTTTTATTAGAAGAATTGGGTTCATCATTCTGGTTCTCCTATGAATTACCTGCATGTGACCTTGGGAAAGTCACTCAGATCACTGAAGAAAACTGAGGTTTCCTCATCTGCAAAATGAAGAGGTCATTCCTTTTGGTAGAAATTACCCATGGATTGGTGGAATGTTGCACACCATTAGTCAACAAGTACTTTGTTTTTGCTGGTGTATTTTTATTTATTTTGTTAAATATTTCCCAATTACATTTAATTTTTTTTTTTTACATTTAACATTCATTTAAAATTGGTTTGGGTTCCAAATTCTCTCCCTTTCTTTAGCCCCTTCTCTACCAATCGAGCAGGAAAGCTAGAGGATACCCATTGTACCTGTGAAGTTTGTCAAGTACTTGTTAAATCCTGTGCTAAGCATTGGGGATACAAAGAAGGGCCAAAAACAGCCCCTGCCTTCAGGGAACTTACATTTAATGGGGAAGGAAGCCAACGGGCAAACCGATTCACAAAGGAGATGGCGATCTCCAAGGGGAGGCGCTAATGCTGTTTGCTCCATACACCGGCAAATGTGGCCGTTTATTATGCCAGTTTATTTTTCTTAACAGGTTTTTCTTTGCTGAGAAGAGCTAATGGATGTGGGGTTTGGAATGATTTCGCTGGGGGAGGGAGATCACATTGTGGATTTTCCTATATAATGCAGAGAGGCAACTCTTCAGCTACTTAGAGCTTTTGAGATTCCCAGGGATTCTGGGAAGTTCAGTAATTTGTCTACAATCAAAAGTAGCCCAAATGCATTAGAATTTGAACTTGGGTCATTCTGGTTCTTTAAAGGCCTGTTTTCCACCCACACATCATTTCTCTCTTGAGAAGTGTTAGTAACTATTTTAAGGCATCAGTAAATTAGTTAAACATAAACCGGTCCAATATTTCAATGAACCTATAATTTTATCTGTGTATTCCCCCAAACTACACAAATTGCAACCTACCCATACCTACCCATCCTATGAAACTCTTGTCCATAGTGAGTTCCTTTGTCCAAGGATCCTTAGCCACCCATCCAACAAACCCTTCCTTGATTCTTTCTTGACAAATGGATGCTACCAAAGTTACGCACAGGTTGACCATTGATCTCATCTCTTGAAAGCTCATCAGCCCATCTTTTCTTCATATATGGCATCTGTCATTCCATTTCTTTTTAATAATTCCTTTGTATTAGGTTGTAGCCTGCTCATGCCTGTCACACACCTTTCCACTGACCTATAATACAGCCATCTCCATTTTCAATTTTTTGTAGATTGCAGTGTTCCATGTCTCATGGCCAAACTGCCCAGGAGGAATATTGGTGTCTAAAAAAAGGGTAAGATTTGTTTAGGGAGAACTCTGTCATAATTAAAGTAAAATTTCCATTTCCTAAACAATACACCTGGGAAAAACTAAGTGGATAAACAATGCTTCTGCTCCAAACTCTGATAGGCAACTGATGAGACAGTCCATAGAGTTCACTGATGAGTATCTTGGTTTGTATTTTTATAATCTCTTTGATTTATGTATTTTATATATATATATATGTATATGTAAAAGCTTTTAAGGTTTAAAAGTGCACTAAGAGTTTTGGGACATAGTATAGGTATGTATGCATGTACATATATATACATGCATGTATCTTGAACAAACTACAAACACTGCTTAACACTTTAAGGTTTGCAAAGTGTGTGTATATATATATATATATACATATATTACTATATCTGATATATATACTAGTGTATATATGTATATATATACACATGTATGTATATATATACTAGTTTTGAATTCTGCTTCCGATGTTTACTATGTGATCATAGACAAGTTATGTAAATTCTCTGAGCCTCAGTTTCTTCATCTTCAAAATGGGGATAATAAACTCTCTAGCACCCACCTTCACAGGGTTTCTGT